TTATTATTATTATTATTATTATTATTATTATTATTATTATTATTATTATTATTATTATTATTATTATTATTATTATGTAAGTTTTCGAGAAATTTTATGTCCGGAGACTTTTGTGTATCTACACATCTTATTGCTTAGTTTCCCTGAATATGAATAAATCGTTATAGTTTAAATTCGCTAGTCTCTATATCGACGAAGGATAATTGCCTCTTGTCCGCAATTATCCGAGTGGCATTTATTACAGTAATTTAAACGCGTTTATATTATTCAGTTTTGAGACCCCACACGGACAGACGACTGACAGTAGACAGTCGTGCTTTTGACTCGAGGACAATTACATTATCTAGGAACGTTGTTATTGTAAACAAATACTACTTCGTTTCTCCCAATAATATTTCTAAACCTGCTTTAATATCAACTGACATAATAATAAAATAAAGTTACAATAAAACTTTCAGAACTTAAGCAAGCTGAAATTGTTACGGAAAACATTGGGTAGAGAGATTGGCTGATTGTGTCTTTAAAGTTATTGTCTATATTAATATTAATATTATTCGTTGCAAAGCCTTTCATCGCGGTAATAGTAAATCGCTTTACGGTTACAGAGCTAGTATGCATGGAATCTCTGAGGTATACTATGTCAAACGTCTTTCGTTATCCCAGTATCTGAAAATCGAGGGATATAGCGAATTGCGGAATCCGAGACTGTCCTTAGCATTATAGTTTCTTTACCATGTTTTGGGTCGATAGTTGTAATTTGTAATATAGGATACTTGAGATGTGGCTGGGCAGAAGGAAAGCTGCATAGAGGGAAGAAGCGTGTGAGAGATTGAAGTAGTGGTGTGGGTACATAGCATCTTTCGAATATCAAAGTAAAAACAATAGTGTATTACTATTAATAATTAACGGATAATCACTTGATCCACTTGATCACTCTGATGCTATTACATTACTATTATGATTATTATTACGTCAATGAATAAAAAGGAGATTCTTTAGAAAGTGTGAGTAGTAACGATGAGTATCGTCAACAAGTGTATTGAAAATAAACACGCATTATTATGTATAGTTTTGATTTCATTCTTCTACCTGATTTACATTTTCTCGTCGGGAATCTGAACTTCAAATAATCACCGACAGTCAACAACCGAACATTCTATGCTATTGAAAGTTTCAGGAGTGGTAACGGTGAGTATTGTCAACGTACGTATTGAAAATAAACAATTTACATTTCTTCTTCAGCAACGATACTTAATAACTTTCCGCGCGCTCAAAATGTCCGAACGTCCAGTGCATATACTGTATCAATAAGCAGACACCATCAACATCTGAGCCAGTTAAGTCTGCTTATTCAGTTTCTTTACTTGATTACATCAGTCGTGTATTGTCTACATCAACTCTGGCATCAGAAATGTATTTTGGTCCTGGAATTCTCGTCAGAATTTTGGCATCATACATTTCTTCGCTTCTCTGGTATTTTCTGATTCGTTATGTATCTTGAAAAATCATTAATAAAGTTTCGCCCATTTGATTTTTGCACATATTCTCGGGCTTTATTTTTTAATTATATGCATGTGTCATCGGAAATATAGAATATTTGACTTACTAGTTTTGAACACGGATATAATGGACGGTTATTTATCTCATACAAGGAATCGGAAGATAGACTGGTTTGACAAAGAATCATAGCAAGGCAACAGTATACTGGAAAATAGCATGCAGGGGAAAGGCCTTGAACACACAAGATTCAAGGACATGCCTGGAGACTGCTTCCATACATCTAACGCAGGACGTAATGGCCATACGCTAGTAGGTATACACATCCTGGAAAACAGCATGCAGGGGAAAGGCCTTGAACACGCAAGATTCAAGGACATGCCTGGAGACTGCTTCCATACATCTAACGCAGGACGTAATGGCCATACGCTAGTAGGGATGCACAACACATCCTGGATACTAGCATGCAGGGGAAAGGCCTTGAACACGCATGATTCAAGGACATGCCTGGAGACTAGCACCAAGCATCTAACGCAGGACGTAGTGGCCATACGCTAGTAGGGATGTGCTTGACTTGCAAAAATTTGAATTTGTTAAAATGTATACACGTTTGACGCGCCGTATAAAGGATTTCACGATCACGTGTAATAGATCGACAACATATTATCCGAATTTGATAATCTTACTACACGACTCACGATTTCTTGTCAAGATGTTTGAGTCGATTGCGAATGAATACCTTCAACATACAGCATGCAAGAATTGGTCGGTCATTTCCATATTGGAATATATCAAATCAAAATCTGATTTATCCGCTGATATGTTCGGAACTCTGAAAGCAGATATATATTCAGTGCTACGAAATTTCAGCGACCATCACAACATTCGCCTTCATCAAAATGCAAAAAAAAAAGCAATAAAATTGTTATCAAACTTTAATGATTCATGGTCCTCGACTAAAGTGAGGCTTTTTATTGAAGGATTAAAACTAAATGACAAAGAAGCAGAATACCGAACAACAATGCGTCGCAAAATAGCGTCGTCGAACGCGTTACAAGCACTAGAGGTGAGCTTGAAGCAAACTTAAGAATGATTACATTGTAAGAGTATTAATGAGAATTCTATTAGGAACATCGCATGACAAGGATATTAATCGAAGATATACACAACGCGGAGGCTTCCCTCCTAGAAAATGTCAGAAATGCGCCCAGCGAGTCTTCTAAGGTAGCCACCGAATATGACTCTAAAAAGAGACATGGAATTCCTGTCGAAGTTCGTTGATGTTATTACTTTACTTAATGTATCTGCTCTCTTCTCAAGAATGTTTCGGAAACCATACAACCGTCAAGACACAGCAGTGATCTTAATGTACAAGCTAACAATCAAGAAGTGGATGTTGCAGAAATCGATAGCATTATTGTAAAAAGGTATACAATTAGAACAGCTGCTTGTTTGAAAAGTATATTTTGAATAATATCTGATACCTTTCATATGGAAGAAAGTGATGGAGCGTTTGAAAGAAGAAATTTAAGAGTACAGTATGTAGATGATAAAATCTCGTTTTATGATGCATGCTTTTTCATAATTAATAAATATTTCAGATCAATTGAATCCCGAATTATCGATCTCGAATGGAATCGAATCCTTAAATCGTCAGATTATTCACAATTGTTTAACAGGTCGAGAAAGAAGCTCCATAAAGATAAAATCGACAAAGATGTGCACGAATTGCTACGTAGTAATCCTGGTCAAATAGTAAGTAGTTTTTATTTCGCTTTCGCAGTATATTCGAAAATTATTAATTGTTATTATATTAGCGATCCTTAAATGATTTAGAACAATGGAAGGCTAAGTTTTCCGATTCAAAATCTATAGACGCAAACTTAACTTTTAAAATAATGGAATTTTTGTAAGTATAAACAAAATAACTATTGGTTTTTTTATTCGAAAATACTGACCAGATTCTACTTAGCAATCAATGTTTACGAAGGGAAATCAATATTCTTGTCATGCAAAATCGTGAACGGGATTTTATTGTTAAGATTCTTGCCCCGATAATTGGTACTCTTCTAGAGGAATTCGATATCGGTACTTTTGAGCTCAACTGGTAAGTGATGGTATTTTTACTTCATATATTATTTATTGTGATATTAACCATAGACCTTGGCTAGGATCGAGAGGGAGTCTCGTAGTGTCACGAATCGAAAACGAAAAGATGTACATGAGGAATACATGACGCTTACATCTGAAATAAAAAAAATGGACCTAATCATCTCGTCACGAAGTCACAAAATTGAACTCCTACCACTTGAAGTAGGAAATACTGAAGGTCCAATTGATGATACTAAATATAGAAAAGACCATTCAAACCTAAAGGTAGTGATGAAAGATTTTTTGGATTCGTTGTGGAGCAAATTACACTTCAAGAAGGTAGAACTAGAAGTAGTTTTCGCTCTTGGCATCCAAATTACTGGTAGGTAAAAAAAATCTCGAATTATGCATTCAGTTTTTATTTTTTACCAAAAAATTTTTCTCATATTATATAGGTACAAGATGGACTATTTATTCCCTTTCCTACGATAATTCGCAGAACTTCTATTTTTTTGTTGAGATGGCGACACTTATACTGCCTACAACATTCTCAGACATGGAAGACCTTTTGCCAGATTTTCTAGAGAATCTTTTAGCATTACGAGTATGTATAGCTATTACTATTACTATGGCGTATTTTTCCGTCAAATCACTGATCTTTATACTGTAAATTCTAAATAGCACACATTAATAGATCTGGTTAAGAAGATACGAACAATCGCTCAAAAACGACTAAATACGCCATCTCCACCATCATCGCCTTTATATAGTACCACAGAATCCCCTCCTTCCATGAAAAAACAAAAGCGAGATCCTTTCGGAATTTTAGATAATTTGTACTAAATAGCGGAATATTTGTAGTTCCTAATTGTAAAAAGTATTTGTCTTAAGTAATGTTGCACAGTGCATTGATTTCGCTCTTATAAACGGAACGTGCACACATAAGATTTTTAGACAAACGAGTTTGTAACCCAACTGCATACGTGTAGTGTGCAACCGTCGTATAATAAATTTAACACTATAATCATTCCTCCTATATATTATATAAAACATGTAAATTTATTCAGTTAAATATCAAGTCTTAATGACAAAATTAAATGGTCAGATTCTAAATCTAATAAAACCGCTTAATTTCGCTCTGTAAGGCTTTGCCAAGACGTAGTCCTAGAGCAAGTAACATAAAGTTGGCCATGATGAAATACTGGAGTCAGGCAAATAAATTCCTACGTAATTTAAAGTTTGTTCATGGCAAAGGGGAGAGTGAGTCCAACATCAGACACACTGGAAGGTCATAAAGAGAGATTTTTTACCAAAGTTCTTCCACCCATGCCTTGATCTGGTTACATACAACATCACCAATGGTGCTACAGCCACATAATGTCAGACTGGGAAAGAGAAAAGATTTAAAAAAGGAATGGAGACATCTTTGTGCCTCATAGCCAGCACTAAACAATTCACTGGTAGAGTTGTTGATCATGTCAACAACCCATTTTTAAAGAAAGATGAGGTAGATGACATCTTAATGATAGATTTTTATGCTTTATGGGCGGAAACCTACAAATTCCCATGCTATCAATATATTAATATCACAATGGACAGGGCTAAAGCTTAAATCAGAAGTTGTCGTATTCTGTATATTTAAAACTTTCAACAGATGTTTTCGACGTTGAACCATAATTATAATCTAGGATTAAAAGTCGAAAGAGCAACCTTGTAGAAAACATTCAGAAACGGTTGATTCAACGCTGCACCAGCTAGTACGGTTACAGTATTGGAATGAGAACTTTGTGGGTTAGGAAGCAAGTAGAAAGTTGAACAGCACAAGCTGGATTCTGGGGACAGTCCTTGATCGTGCCTCAGGCAGTGTATTTTGTAGCAAAGTTATTTTTGAAGAGCTACGTAAAGCGCGCCGTTCAATGACAACAACACCAATCATGCGAAGCTTATTTCAGAAATTGCGTACGGATTTGAAGGTTTTTTGTAAGTGACAAACAGTATGCATGCATTCTAAGATTGCTTATTATATATTACCACTTTTAAATGGTACTCAGGTTCAGGCTTTTTCTCCATATATGATTATTTTATAGTTTAAGGTTTTTATTTTTGGTACCTAAAGTGGGACTCGAACCCACACTGGACGGGTCTTGAATCCGCTGCGTCTACCAATTGCGCGATTTGGGCTTTTTAGTATTTTACTTCTTCGGTAATAAAAGTTTTAATCTATTAAGTGGCGAGGTATTCTTATTTGCGTCAGCGGATCGCAGCAGCGGGCGAAAAATCGATATGGTTTGAATTTGTTATGGATCCGCCTAACCAACGCCAGCATCCACATTTTTTTTTGGTCGTTGGCCGATGTTTCACATTTAATCAACAGTATTACTGGCTTGGAAACAAGTGTCGACTTTTTCAAGACTGTAAGGCGACAAGAAATATATCCATCTCTGTGTCATTTAGCTTGTTCAAATCGGGTAACGAGTTAACACTAAATATTAATTGTTAGAATTCTGAATTTCGATAAAGTAATTTAACGTTAGTATAACGAACACTCGAATTGCTACCACCCTATAAATACCCGCTAAATTCCATCGTCAAAGGTGTTGAAAAAGTGACAAAGTTGTTGAGCAAATAATAGATCATAACATTCACATTAAATAAAATACTACGAAAGTAATTAAAAATTACCGTCTAACGATTATTGATTGGGTCATGCGGCTGAGAACAAGTACAAGGAATTTCTTAATTAGACGCGTGGAAATTTTATCGTCTTCTATAATTAATACACTTTTCGACTAAAGATTATTATTAGTTGTTGTTATAATAATAGTTTTATTGTGCATCGTTGTTGTTGAGCGGATGTGCTGTTGCTTAGGGAGACTAAAATAATAATAACCCGGATAGGCCAGCTTACGAAATATTTAGATGTAACGCTGGAGTGTCAGACCAGACAGGAAAGAATAGTTCGATTATCTGTGCAATATTTTTATAGATAGTTTAGCACAACATTTGAGGAGAGTTTATACATTGGCAATAGGAGATATAAAGAGCCGCCTGCAAATTTTAGCTACGCCTTAATTGACGCGTTTAAAGCTAAATTTTGAGAAAATCCCCGGTCAAAAGCGCTCTCCCAGTTGTCCGAACATAGTATAGTAAACAAATAGGTCTGCCGTTGCCAATGCTTGATTCAGATAATGGTGATAGTTATGTAATCGAAGACCAAGAAGGCGATAATTCGTAGATGACATTAAATAGTATAGGCGGCGTTTGACAAATCTTGGAAAGACCATAATAAAAATACTATTAAAATATGAAATATTGCAATATTGCATAGATAATATTAATATATTGTTGCTAAATAAAGCGTGCAACAATGTATAGCTTGGTTGTGGAGACTAATATAATTATGACGTATACTATTTCTGCGCAACGTTTTGCCATTAGTATACAATCGTATTCAATAGCATAGAATACAAGACAACCATACGCGCTGGAAAAAGCAAGTATATAAGCAGTGCGAGTTTGATTATTCGCTTGAGACGAGACGTACGTTTGAATATATACAAGTATACAGGGATTAACTCGAGGGCAAATAACGTTTAGGATTAGTGTCTACCGATCAACACTCGGTCGTGAGTAGTAAAGTCTAATTTAAAGGTCACTAACACATTTAGACCAATTGAAACTAAGTAATGATCAGCAAATCTTGTCAATAAATGGAATTAATGTAAATACTTATATCAAACAAAAATAGGATCCAGCGTTCTGATGTTTTAATAAAGAAATGACTTTATTACGGTCGCAAACGTTTAAGTCTAATTTATTATTGATTGCTGGTACGACAGAGTGGACTAACGGAATTATGTGACTTATGGCATACTGTACAACAATTTATTCATTATAATTCTTTATTTCTTATTGTATATACATAGGTTTGATACATGATTATAATAATAACACTACTCCCAACGTAAACTGCCGCATGGCGTAAATAGTATTCCCATACGCAGGTGTTGGCGAA